ATGTCGTTTGATTGTATTGGTATATGTGACCATTGATGGGTCGAGTCACGATAAATGTGACGAAGGCCGCTTTGATCCTATATTGATATAGTCAATGGACGAGATTGTTTGGAAATACCTTTTCAATGATAGCAATTCTGAGCTCATAAGGTTATACACAATTTAAGGAATCATATGGTGCCCAAGTGGGAGATTGTTGGATTTAAATCTAATTAAATCTATTTCTGGGCACATATGATTAATCTGTGTGTATTGCTATCCTTCAGAATAACCCACTAAAGTGATCAATCAATTTGGGTTAATGGGTATTTAAATATAATCATGGGGTTATATGTGCAGATACCAGGTTGTAATTATAATTTGATGAGGGACCAAATTACAAATGTACAACACCTATAAATAAGGGGTTATGGTCCCTATTCTAGGGTTACATTCTCTAATTATCTTCACCCCCATCTAGAGAGAAATTTGGCTAGAAACCCTAAAGTCAGAAGATCATCAAAACCCTAAAAAGGTTTTCCTCAATGAATTCAGGTATATGCTTCCGCACCTTTTGATTCTTGTTAATCTCTTTGAATTAATCATGTCTTTATGATTTAGATCTCAAGTTTTTTTGTTTTAAGATCTAACATGAGAATCTAACAGGAATATTTTTTTATGTTATTACGTTAGATTTTATTTCATAAGTTGATAAATTATCTTTAATTAACACATCATCCACTCATCTTCAGCCTACTACGGTGCACAGGCGGGCGCTTTCAGATGCCTCCTGCTGTTCTTCTATTTGCTTGTTTTCTATTTTCCCTAATTTTCTTATTAGGGGTCAAAATGACTTTTTACTGTAAACTTTCACGATAATCAGTTTGGATGTAAAATTGTAAGAAGAAACCCAACTTAAGAGAAAGTTAGCAATTACTTAATGATTTGACAGCAAAAGTAAACGTAACATAATTTGGAGGTATGTTTCTTTTTCATTAAATTGCAGCTTGGTACAAAAGAGATTCAAACTTCTAATATCTTTTGGTACAAATTAATTTACTGTACATTTCACAAAACTATCATAGATTATTAGGATTTTTTAAAAGAATACTATGCATTACTTTTAAAAGTAACATATAAAATCTGATCAACTTCGTAGAAAAATGTCATATATTATCATAAAATTTACTTATGAATTAAATATCATGGCATTTTATGTTATGTTTTGCAGAACTGTTACGAATTTTCAAATAAATGAAGATAAACGAACGTGAATTTATTTTATCGTCAAATAACTTTCCATCCAAATATCATGTTTCATTACCATAAAACTATCATACTGTTTTCTATCAACTAGTTCTTATGCACGTGCAATGCACGTAGTTAAATATCAAACAAATTTATTTATTTTTTGTTTATTTTCTTGCTATAAAATAAGTCAGATTCATCTTGAGTTAATCTTTAAACATGGATTATTACATTTGCCAAAAACTTTATTTAAACATTTTTTAAAATTTTATGAAATAGATTTGTGTGTAAAACTGGGATCAATATACTTTGATATACTTGCATATACAACATTATTTTTTTAATTTTGTATATATCAAACTTCATGTAATATATTTGTTTATCTGATCAAACCATCTATCTCCAATTTTTTTTATCTTAGTCATTAAATATAGTGTTAAGTGTGTGTTAATAAAATATAACCAAATACTTAATATTAAGATGGTTTGTATAAGCTCACCACATAGTACATACTTTTCACTAGAATTTTATATGACAAAATCATTCACATAAGCATATTAAAAATTTTGCATAAAAATCCCTTCTGAAGACTCCTAATTTTACTCAGAAAATTAAGTTCTACTATAAAATATTCAAAAAATATTATCATTTGTCCCTTCTTTTTCATATTTAATTGAGCCGAGATTAATCATTCTCCACCTTTATCTTTTTCTTGGGTAATTCTACAATAGTGTATTCATCGTCTATATCAATTGTGATAATCAGATTGGTATATAATAAAGAGCAAAAGATAAGACAATAGTCCAGAAATATATTAGGATATACTTAAATTAATCAAATTATATTATTACTCATAATTGATATGCATCATAGATAAAATGTGTTGACAATTTTAAACTATAAAACATACTGCATGAGCCCTCTAACAGAACTTTTTTAATGCAAGCAACCCTCAAGATTAATTTTAAAAATCTCTTAGGGTTAGGAATAAACAACTAACAAGTTTGCAGTGAAAGCTAGGAGAATGCAGTACATTCTTAAGAATTATTATTCTTTACTTAATTTGTTTATAATGACAAGATTTTATTATTAACTAACTACAAGGCCTAGTATATTATTTTTTTATTGGACGTTCAACGTAGGTAGAGGACCCATGTGAGTCCTCATCACAATGAATGTTATACAATTTAAGTATAAAGAAAAAAAGAGGATTGATCAATGATTTAGTTGGTGAGGGAGAAACTCCAACAGCTTAATTTGGGTGTGTGGATATATTATAGATGGAGATGGAGAAGTGTGATTTTGAAAACAGTGAGTGTGTGGGGTAATTAATATGGTTTTTGTTTGTGTGGTTTTCTTCGTTCATTTTCAAGATATATGTACTCATGTGGATATAAATATATATATATATATATATATATATATATATATATATATATATATATA